CTTATTACTGTCCAGTTTCTTAGCTAATACCACCTTATGAGCCTGTCTTCTGTGAAGTCTCAAACATTCAACTCAGTTTTATAGAAACAAATTTTTTTTCCTGTTTTTTTCTTTTCTTTTTTTCCTGATATTCCTTCACTATGAACTCTTTTATGATGTTGCCTTCTATTCTTAAGTCTTGGCTCTAAATCCTTTATGTCCTTCACTGATTATAGTTATATACAACTGGTCCTATGGAAGGAAGTGGAAATGCTATTTCTGCTTTCTACTGCTTGTCAGACCTCATATATATTTTTTTTATTAAATATTATTACATGCTTTGTGGCATGCTCTGCAACTATAAAAAAAAGCAGCATGTACCTTTCCCTTAAAAAATCTTTTACAGAACTGGATACTTCATAAATGAATACTATTAATGATATTCCCTTTGATGAAACATTTAAAGGGTGTCGAAACAATGAACTACAACTGACAATGAACTAAAATTTATGTTCAAACATTTTCTCATTCCCTATTTCCCCATTTGTTTGTACATTTTGATTCATCCCCTTTTTCTTTGCTAATGAAATGAAACCCACAGAATTTCTCCATCAGATTTTATTTTAGCTGGAATGTTCAAGCTAGTAGGTTGCTTTCTGTGGTATCTTTGCTGTCAGTGGAGAGACAGACAATTCTAGGGCAGATCAAGTCAAATCAGAATGTATGTCTCCACTGACTCCATATTATCATTTTGCTACAATGTGAAAAGAACCACATTCAAGTTACTCAGATATTAACAATAATTAACTGAGAAAATGCAATACATGCATTGCCATGGTTTTAAACACCAGCTCATTGTGAGCTGCTGCAGACCAGACAGGTATGTAAAAGTGAATAATCACAAGACTGTGGCAGGGGTTCCTGACAGTACAAAGAAGAGGGTTTGAAAGTGCAGAAACATATCAGAATGCAGTGCAATGCACACAAATGGCCAATTACAGACATAAAATTGTGAAACAAGCTCATGAAGCTGTTCATAACTCATTGCATGTCTGGAAGAGCCTTTATAGTGCATACAAGACTACTTGAAAAAGAACTAGTTCTGCAGAGGCCACAGTTCACAACTGGGTATGCAGATGGGATTGCTCTGGTATCCTACAATGTATTACTACATATTGAAGTATTGTTCTATTTTGATTAAAGAAAATTTTATATAGTATTTGGTCTGATGCTTTTCTGACTCTTTGGTCTCCTTACCCACTTTTAATGCCTGTCTTTTTTAACTAGATATAACAGCTGAGGTAAGTAGACTCACAATTTTGCCTTCTTCAAGAGAAATATAATCATCTGGGGATATTTTTTCATCTGTCATTCTCATTATATGAAAAATATTAATGCACCTGTACTCAGTGTCCTTCCACAGTGCAACAGACAGATAACTCCTTGAATTATTAGAAAGAGACTATATTTTTTTGAGAGCTAGTCTTTCTATGTAAATGAATAAAACTATTTGCAATCAGTTATGGAAAAACATAATTTAAATATGTAGTTTTGTCCAAATCACATCATCAATGTCAAATGAAGTAGTTCTTTATGTGTAGCTGATTTATTTTCTAAGCTGGAAAAGAAAAAGCACTATCAGGATGCAAAAGGAGACACAAAAAATGCTACATGAGATTTTAAAATTATTTAAAGTACAAAACACTAAATGTGTCTGACCTGATTAGGTATATTAAATCTATTTTATCTCTTTCATTAAAAAAAAGATCTTTTGCACACTTGAATGCATTTGCTGCAGAGTAATTCACAAGCGAATTATAAAAATGGGAAAGTAACTAATCAGATGTAAAATTCTATCAAGTTCTAATTAATGAAGCTAAGATACTGAAATCATCACCAGTTGATATCTGTGCTGAGATTCCTTTAGCCACTTGTCTGAATGGGACTATGGGTCTTTAAGCATCACAGCTTCTCCCCAGTAGCATCAAGGATTACAAAAAGTATACAAATGCTGAGATGTTGCAGCATGACAAAGTGAACCACAAAATGATTTGATGAGTGGGTGAGTATCATTATCTCATTGCCATTAGCTTCATTCCCCCCTCCTTTGTCTCCCTCCTTCTCTTCTTTCCTTCTTCTCTCAATTTTTCATTCAACTGGTATTGCTCAAGACATTTTTACTGAATTTTACCTCATAGATCTATGGTCTATAAAGCAAGTTCCTAGATGGCAGGTTCATAAATGCTGGTGCATCATTCACAGTAGGTTATTCATCCCTTGACTGTATTAAACCATAGCCATTCTTAAGGCATAAGCTTTGACTGCTTTGAAACTATGGACACTATTTTTCTATCTGAAAACTCCTTAGAACTTAAGCAGCTATTGTTCTTATTGACCATAAGGTAGTATGCTCTTATAATATCTCCTGCTGATAACAGATGGACTTGGCTTGTCTAGTCATGATTATTGTCTCCTTGAAATATCAAAAGGCTGTTGAGCATTAATGACTTCTGTACTGCAGGGTCACAATATGTATCATTTCATCATGATATTTGCATCAGTGTACTTTGAGTGCTAGGACCTGTGGGACAGAGAATATGTCATTAACAAACCCATCTACACTTTTTGACTTATTTTGATCTAATTCTCAGGAAAAGGTAAAAATCTTGTTTTTACTAGCAGTATTGCCTTATGCTATTTCCTAATTCTTAAGCATTTTCAGCCTGGTATTCCATCAAATACAGATAAGAGTTGATTTGTCTTGCTTTTTAGTCCTGATGCCTTTTTATGTTTCTCAAAAGTTATTTTCCACTTGGTTCATCCTTCCTTGCTGTGTAAGTCTCAAATATTATGGCTCTTGGATATAACTTGCTTGTGTGCTCTCTTATGGATTTTGTAGAAGTAGGCACAGTCTGACTGTATGTTAGAGCTTCTATTATTAAAACCATTGTCACAATATTTTGCTTTTATTACTTAAATAAACACTAGTGTAGGCCCTGGACTATACAATATTGGGTTCATTTTTCTTTCGATTCAGAGCAATTATGTGTAATACTTGAGGAAACTGCAAACAGATAGTCTATATCCATCCTACAGAACCTTTGCACTGATCTTCAAGGTTCTTTCAACAGAAACTTATATTCTTAATATGTCTCCTTAAAAATTGTTTCCTACCATAATTGTTTTAAACATAAAGTGAACTACAGTTGCATTCAGATTAAAATGAGCAGACAGATTTTTAAAGAGAAAATTGTTATGAACAGCTCTGTTAGTTATCTGAAGGAAACAAGGAGATTGAGAAAGAGGGAAAAAAAAAAGCCAACCTTACTATGCCTTTGTATGCATATTACCTTTGAGTATTAGCACAGAAATCTTGCAACACTGAGGCTATACAAATCTCTGAATGATTGTGGAACAAAATATAACAGTATATTTCATGTGGCCTAAAATTCAAAACTCTCTGGAAGTGTGGAAGGATAAACAATCATCCTTGAAGTCTACTTAAAAATGGTAGAAGGCAATCAGGCAGGGACATGACAGTTAAAGACTAGGATGACATAAAATTACAAAGACCTCTTCCTTCCCTGTACACAATGGTTGCAGAAAACTATCTATAGGTGAGGGACATTTCAGATAAAAGGAGGTAATTACTTTTTAATTGCATGACTTGGTTTGTTTCTTCAGACTTTCATTTTGGATGACATCCCAGTTATTAATGGAGGTGAGATGTGTGCTCCAAAACTGAGTGTCTGACAGCAGCCACACCTGTGGTCCAGCCACCTTCAAGGACAGAATTGCCTTTGACTGTTCATGTAATTGCTCTGTGGGCATAACTCAAACAGTGGAGACATAAGCTCCTTTCTCTTTGCATAACATTAGCTGTTTACAGAGCTCTTTTCTTATCATTTGCTGCCTCACAGTTACCCCTTGACCATATGCACATACTTTTTCTCTTGTCCATCCTTGGAAATTTGGCCTCCCCTGTAGCCCTCTCCTATTGGACTGCGATGATCCTGTAGATCCCTGTCTGTGCTGTACCCCTGGATAATGTTTTTCCAGGCAAAATACCTCACACTTGTCCTTTTTTTTAACTCTCAATCTCAGTGTAATGATTTGTTTATATTCTACGAAAGTTGGGGATAATTGATGCTTCCAAGAAGGAGAATTTGAAAAGCCTAACTGCCTTTGGATATTCAAGAGCTAGCTGTATACTTAGCCCACTCTTAAAGAAAGCTCTTCTGAGTATTGCTATGTTTCTTACATCAACACAGTAAATCTTTACTGTGAAGCACAACATTGAATAGTGTTTTCAGGTTTGACTCCTATCCCAACCCCCAAATCAGTATTTACAATAGGATGGGTTTAGATGCATTTTCTAACTTCAACTTTTCTCATGAAGCCTTCTTATTTGTCCACTATATCATAAATGAACCAATTAACTTCATTCTTTTTAATCAAGACACATCCCTAAAACATGAGATTGTGGACTCTTTAATTAATTTGACCCTTTAAATTATTTCCATCTTATATTTCTAGCACATCTATTAAGAGGATGCTGAAATTAGGGTTGTAAGTGTCATGATCCTTCAAAAACATCCATCCAGGATGCATCTATTAAGAGGATGCTGAAATTAGGCTTGTAAGTGTCATGATCATTCAGAAACATCCATCCAGAATAAGTTCTGATCCTTGCAAACTCTGTATTTGAGAACCAGTGAGTTAGTGATCATGAAGTCTTCCTTTGTTGTATTGCCAAGAGGAGAAAGGTATTTGTAGATGGGACCCAATTATGAAAAGCTTCTCTCATTTATATGGTTTTATTTCAATGCATGAGTATGTTGGAACAGTCACATGGAAGCCTAATTTCTTTATTTTACAAAACCTATTTTGAAAAACTCATAGGAAATGGCAAACTGTGTGACAGTCATCTAAAGTAACTGTTTTACTAAAGTAAAATTTCATGCCATTATTATAACACAGAAAAACATTATTGTAAGACAGGCAATAAAGGTGTTTCTTACCTGTAAAGCCCTTGTTGCATTCACAAAGAAAAGTGTTTGGAGTGACATTGATGCAGTTGCCATTGACACATGTAGATGGCTGGCACTGTCCCACTATTTCTGTACAATTTTTACCTATTTGAAAAGGATAACAGAAATACTGAACTTTAGGAAATATTTTACCTATTTGAAAAGGATAACAGAAATATTGAACTTTAGCAAAGATTCAGGGGTTTGGTAGGGTGTTTTTTGAAATGCCAAATTTATATCTAAAATATGAATAGGCAGATGGATACAAAGGTATTTGTGCCAGTGTTGGTCACTAGCTTTCACCAAAATTACTGACATTCTAAAGCAAGGCAGAAAGATATTCAGGGGCTGTAATATGAACTACTGTGCTCAACCCCATCTGCCATAAGGTTATAAATGCACATGTAGTTTAAAAGGCAGAAATGATACTAGGACTGTAGTACTTGTTTCTTTTTATCATAAATATACCTTCCAGTTTCTTCCAGCACTGAGAACAAAAGTTGCTCTCATGTGGAGTAGGACTTGACAGAATTTTTCTTAATATGCAGCTTTCTGGAAATGACAATTCTAGTTATAAGTTGTTTATGCTATTACAGCATATAGGTCTAAATACCATATAATTATGCTTGCCACTTGAATTATTACTATGGCATTATTCACACTTTAACAATTTTTCAGATTTCTAAGACTCTAGATTATAGGAGGCACTTTTTTCCTTCCTTAGTCTTGTGCAGCCATGTCCATAATATATTAGGTTTAGTCTCCTAATTCTTCTTGGTTACATACAGCTTATTTATGGGACCAGTATTGCCAGTACAAAATTATGGCATTACCCAAAACTAGCAGAATATCTTAAGCATTGCTTGTTGCTAACATTAAGCATGATGATTGCTTCTAACAAAATTGTTTGTGAATTTCTCCATTAATTAAAGTTTAATTAGCACCAGACACTGTTTGATACTATTATTTTCAAAGCATTTTACACAGTCCCCGGTGATCATAAAAGAAATATAAAACTTACTGCTTGCCATCAATGTTTTCCACTATTTTCATACACTGTGAGTAATTATAAAAATATTTTTCTCATAACATTGACTTATTCTTACCTGCATAATCTTCTATTGGCAAATGCATTAGTAACCAAATTATTCTGCATTTTGAGAAGCAATTAAAAATAAATTACAGCAAACATCATGCAACACAACCTTCATTTCTGTGTTCTGTGAACCTCACTTGTTCCTCACTCATCAGCTGTGTTTCATACCATTTCTCACTATTGTGAGAGCACAGAAGTTCAGTCCAACCAGGAAACATTGCAAGAGTTCTGTGCCACAAGTACAAAAAAGAGATACAACTATCCATTTTGTGATGTGAATTGACTTTTCTGGTACTTTCTAAAGCATATCTAAACTCCATTGATCTGAATGCAGGAAAAATATACCCATAACTTCCTTAACCCCTTTTCTTCCTCCATGAAATGAAGACAATGGTTAGGTAAGAATTTGTCTAATCATGCTGTACTCTCTGGTATTCCAATCACAAACCCAAATTCATTTTCCCCAATGCATTTTGGGTTAGTGCTGCAATATTTCCTAAATAGGATGAGATTTTTTTTTTCATTTGTGAAATATTTAATTTGGTGATAACAGTATGTTTAACAAATTCCCCTTGAAAGGAGCTTTACAGCACAGAACAACCTGGAAGAACAGATTAAGTACTTTTTTTTTATTGATTTTCTAAATTAATGTTTGACCTTTCAATTAGAAACAAATTTTTATTTTAAAAATTCCCCTAGTGTTAGTTAAAAATTATTTAACCTGGAAAGGAAGGAGGGGTTTGGAAGGTTGAATGAAATGTTCATTTCAACAAGGTCATTTTCTCTATTTCAGTAGTTTGGTTAGGTAACTAGTTTTTGTGGAGCTTATTCCAAATGATTTTGTTAGTTGGTCGAAGAACTTGAAGTGCTGAACAAAAAGAAAAAAATCAGCTATTTCTGTAAGTTCATGAGTATTTATTAATGTCTCATGCTTAGGTGGGAAAGAAGCATGATAGTACCTTACTCTGGTTTTCTCTACAATGCATTTAAGAACATCCACAACTACAAACTCTCTTCAAATGCCTGCACAGCCTCCTGTAAGTAATTACGTGTAAAAGAGACTCAGTGCAGGTGTGGTAGTGGCAATGTACAATCAAGTTATGCAAAAACCTTGCTAATTATGTTCTCACTGTTTTATAATCCGTTCAGGAAAGTGTATTATCTATATAACATCTATTCCTAGAGAAGCAAAGAAATACCTGCAAATTTTGGCAGACACGTGCATTCGTAAGGATCTGCAGAAAGTTCTGGTTTCTCAGTGCAGGAGGCATTGTTGTGGCAAGGTTTAGTAGAGCAGATATCAAACTTCTGGCAGAATGTTCCAGAATACTGTGAGAAACAATGGCAATGATATGCTTTTTCCCAAACATGGCTTAGACATTTTCCATGCCCAGAGCATAAGGGAGTATTTGGAGCCTGTTGGCAAAACTGCTGCTTGACGGTTACGTTCAGCCGGAGCCCCATGTCGCACAACCGTGGGCCTCTTCTATGAAGTTCTGCAAAGTAATGAGTTCCAACACCAAGCCAGTTAGGGTCAACTTGGTGCAGTCCTCTTATCTGGCAAACAAAAACCAACTGCTCTTGACGAAAATCAGCTTTAGGGCAGTTAATAAACTCTTCCTTGGAGACATTTACCAGATTCATGCTGTAGGACTGAAAGGTTGGCTCAGAGGAGATGAAGAGACTATCCCCTACTTGAAGCTGTAAGGGACAGATCTGTGGGATACTGAGGTTTTGTTCTTCCAAGATTTCCTCGGTAATACTTTTATTCATCTTCCAGCATTCGTTGTAAAAGTCTGAGCAGACATTTTCCCTTGGTGTCCATTTTACAATGGTAGGTTTTGGTTTCACTCGCCACTCAGCAGTCGTTTGCCTCTCACATATTGTCTGCCCATTTACAACACAGAGTTGAAGGAAACATGCCAACATGGGAACTGCTGATTTTCTAGTCATTGTTCCACCTGGGAAATGGAATTTGTTTTTCACACCTGCGTCATTACTGAGGAGACGTTCAGAGCACTTGTTCCTTAAGGTTCTCATGCATTTTCCACAGCAGCCTAGGAATTAAAACAGAGGAAAATGTTTCTGTTTTCACACCTTTTTACAGTTGAATATTAAAGTCTCATTACAAAAATAGAAAATGAACAATGAAGCAACGTCTAATTACACTAATGTGATGCTAGAATAAGTCAAATTAACTGATCAGAACTACAGAACTCTAACAAAAGTCAGATTTTTCCTTTTTTTTTTTTTTTCCTGCTAAAGATTTGACTCATATTTAGTACATTTCATTGTATTTCTGTGTGGAAGAGAAAGAGCTTAAAAGCATACTTTCCATATTCCCTCCCTCTGTTGACAAAAACTATTGCAAATCAAGTTAAGAAAGGAGATATATGGTAAAACTAAGAATTAAACCAGAACATCTAAGCTCTAGTCATGAGCTTTAACCATAGATATTTTCCTGAAAATGATTTATCAGTTTAGGATAAAAGTAGATATTCTGAAGATGTAGGGCTCAAAATTTTGGCTTTAATGAAGAAAACATGCAAGCAATCCTCAACTCATTTCTGTTCATATACACTCAGCAAAACACTTGATTAAATCCTTAGTTTTTTAAGGGTATATCTGAAAACCAAAAGTCCTTCATCATATGCTGGAGGGTTTTATGTATCACAGTCAAAGACAGCAGACTACAGAGTCCTCCAGGACTATTTCATTTATAGAAAATGCTTTTTAGGCCCTTCAGTATATCTAGCAATTTTTATTGCATGGAGATGAGTGATCACAAAAAGAAAACCAAAATAAGATTATTAAGCTTTTGTTTGGAGCCATACTAAAAATGATGAAAACACAATATTATGTTCAATACCTTTAAAACTATCAATAGCTTTACATTAGTAATAGTTTAATTTGTCTTAAATATAGTGGGTTTACTCCCTTTTAGTCTTTTTTCCACTCAGTTTACTGACACTTTAAGATATCTATCTTTTTTTAGTCTTTTTTCCACTCAGTTTACTTATCTGACACTTTAAGATACTTATCTTGCTCTTTAAGGCATTGGCCTCCAAACTGACATTTGCGAGTTACAAAATTATTCTAAAGAATAAAGTCTATCTTACAAGGGAAGCCATTTTAAGGCATTGGCCTCCAAACTGACATTTACGAGTGAGAAAATTATTCTAAAGAATAAACTCTATCTTACAAGGGAAGCCATTGAGTAAAAATAATCTCATATATAATTTGAAATTTGTTCACATTGCTCTCATTTTTACAGAGTTTATTTTTCATTTGAAATTTGTTCACATTGCTCTCATGTTTACACAGTTTATTTTTTTTCACCTACATACACCTGGTCCATCTATAAACTGCACATGAATAGTGATACTGTTGTAAGTATATGATTTTCTTCAATGTTCTCCTCTTCCCCCATGTGCTTCAAGAGTATTTTTGGACCATATTTTGGACTATGTTGAAAGATCAAAGTAGGACAGCAAATACACTGAGGATACCTTGAGTTGAAGAATACTAAATGATTCAATGAACTGTTGGAAATTATCAGATCATTTCAAAGGGTAGTATTTAGTCTCCCTGATTGTTACCTAAAATGGGATGAAAGCATCTAAAATTTAACTATGTCTTATTAGTAAATATCTGAGCATGTGGACCTGCCCCAAAGGCCTTTATGCAGCTGAGTGGTCAGCACTGTTAAAGCCTTTAAAGATACTGGAAAATCATGAACTATGGCTAACTAGTCATAATAATAGCAGACTAAAGGTTTAGAATATTAAACTCAGAAAGGACAGAAACCAGATTTTGATCCTCCTCCCAGAACAGTTTTGATTTTAATTTAATTATTGAATCCCAGTTCTGCCTTCAAAGAGTTTCAGCACTCTAACAACAATGCTGCAGAGCAAGGCAAGTATGTTAATTTCTAATTCTTCTCTCTGTATTTCCACCCCTGGGAGTTAACTCTCCATAGAAGGAAAGGATGACATGGATCTGCAAGAAAACTCCTAGCCTTGTTGCTCAATACTCAACGGTCTTTTCTATTTTGAGACCATTCTATTATCTTCAAAATTTCATGATGCTAAGTGATACCTTTATATAATGGGCTATTGAATATGTAGTTTGGCTCATTTAGCATTTTTTTTCTTTTAGGATAGCAGTCTTGAGCTATCATATTCATTATAGCTGCTCTTACATCTGTCACTGTTATCAGGTATAAAAGCCTATGCTCTATATTACTGCATATTTAGAAACTCTACGTTCAGCCCATCTTTTCATATCTTCTTCATAAGATTTTTTCAGGTGTTATTAAAATAGACCTTTCTAAAAGGTTGTTTTACTTTTTAGACATCTCAAAAAGAAAGCTATTGCATGTCCAATGCAGATTTCTTGCTCACTCACATTTTGCCCTTTTTAATGTAATTATGCATCATTTTGGTATCATATACAGGCTTCATTTGTACTGATAATGAAAATGTGCATCTTCACAATGCTTGTATGGGATAAATCTGAATTATTTTAAAATAAGTGGTGAGTAGCATTATAGCAGTAATACACTTCACAAAGATCATTATTAGTCTTCATGCAGCTGAAAAATTATAATGGGAGAACCAGACTTAATAATATAGAATAAACACATTCTGTAAAAGAAATGGAGAAAATACAACATGGAAAAGAAATATCAAGAGATTTTTTTCTTTAGCAATAAATCATGAGGGGAAAAAAGTTATAGAGTGAAGAGGATAAAAAGTAAAGAGCTATGTATGAAATACACTTAAAATGTTAACGTATTATTAGAAAATCAACCAAGATATTAAATAACTGCAAAGTGCTGCTGCCATGTCATGAGAAAAAATGATGTCACAAGATGAAATCTGAAAGTGATTATGATAACTGTTATACTTTAGGTGTGCTTTAGGTAAGGATAAAATCTTCCTACCTATAACCTCAGATGCTTCCATGTAATTAATGAAGACTAAGAAAAGTTCAAGACTGTATGAACACACAATGAGAATCCTGAAGAAATTCTAACCCTTAAAGTCATAGAAGGGTGGATGAAAAGCAGCCCAATGCTTTTGTACTAAAGGAAAACTGAAGCAAGAAAGTTTATGCAGAACTGTAGGGAAGTAATTTAAAAGCAAAAATGAACACCAAGTTATTTGCATTCCAGTGCAGCATCTTAAAGATTATGTTTTCTTTCTATTAATAGCAGGTATTAAATACTAATGACAAAAATATATTTTAAGTGAGATTGGAGAAATGCCCTCAGATGACATATTACTCTAATGACTTCTCAGAAGAAAAAAAAGAATCTTTCAAAGAAGAGAATAACCCAGAAAATGTTTAGGAATATTATGTCACCGTGTTTCAGCCAGGAATGAACCTCCTTGCCACCTCCTCACACATCACGCACACTTTGTGGAATTCCTGCCTGTGTTTGGTAGGATGAGGCCTCAACCTTGGATCAAAGTGGTGAGAAAAGAACTGAGAGGTGCTGTGGGAAAGCCTTGCTGGGTGTTCCCCACCTTGCTCAGAAGCTACATCTAAACTCAGGTTCTCACCCATGGTCCTAACCTGGGCAACGCTGCAAATGAGCTGGGACTCAATCTTATACCTTGATTACTTGGGCCTTGATCCTGGCCCAAATATTTGACTTATTGGCTTGATTTCAGAACCTGTGGACTTGCCTGGGCTTCACAGGTTTGCTGCATTCGCTGATGATGCTTATGGTGCCTAGGGAAAAACATTGCTAGAAATATTAACAATGGAAATTTTTAAGGAATACAGTGTGTTCTTGTGATAAAATTCCACTCTAGTATTTCTTAATCTACAGACTAATTTTTGTAAGTCATGTTCAGTTAATTGCACTACCATTGAACTGCTGGCTGGCTCTGAGTGCCATCCCCAAACTCTTTCTTTCTCACATGGATGCTATGGGATGATGCCTCTTCTCATTGAGGCCACTGTCACTCTCCCTTTCCAGCACTCCTCCCTTGCAGGACAGCCCATGTTTGCTTATCCCTTGGACTGTGATATCATGTTCATTTCTGATGCATAATTAAAACCATCAAGTATAAACATTATATAATATACCACAAATTATAGTGCCTGCAAAATTGGACTCCCACTCCGTGTTTGCAATATGCACTAATCTATTTCAGTGACATACCAAATATTCTTTTGTACCTTTATATTTTCATCACAAAATTAATAATTCTTACAAAATTATGCATTCTCTATGCCAATCCCGATTCTTTGCAAATGATCCTTTCCTTATTTACCAAACATTATACAAAACATACAGTGTTTGCTGAAGTATTTAATTATATGGCTTTCTAAAACATTGAAGATGCTAGACAGTGAATTTACCTGCAACTCAAAACACAAACCCCTCATTTATACTTTATAAATGTGCTATATGTATTGACAGAAAGAGTGGTGATGCAGACAGTATTGAAGGTATCAGGGATTTCTGATGGCTTGTCTGTTACTCACTAACCCAAACAAAATTACTATAGGCATAATGGTATCATGACTGGGGAAAAGCAAAACTGCTCCTGCAGTTGATGGAGGATATGTCAATGTGCTTGTCTTTGGCAATAGGCTTGATACAGCACCTTTTCCTAGGTTTTCTGAAGAACTTGCATTTTCTCAGGATCTACACACTGTGGTGCTGTGATGCAGTGTCACAAAGGACCACATGAACATTTGGTGAAGACTGTGGTTGCACTGCAAACTAGAGAAGGAAAGGACTCATTTAGAAGTTTATATCTCAGCCAAACCTGAGGACAGTTTCACAAGATACTGAGAATGTCATTCTGTCTACTACCACAGACTTCACCCTGCTGAATTTCACAGGTTTGCTGCACTCACTGATGATGCTTACGGTGCCTAGGGAAAAAACATTGCTAGAAATATTAACATGGAAATTTTTAAGGAACACAGTG